TTTCTATGTACTGTACAGAGGTACACTATTCAATGTTCCCAATGTTCTTATTGGTTTGAGAGAATATTCATTGCAGCAAATTCAAGAGGCAAAAGTTTTTTTCATGAAATTCTGAAGAATACTTTTTCCATAAAATACCAATTAAAATTTATATAATGTAAGTCTATGGGAAAACAAGATCCAACTTGGGGACAATCCAACTTAGGGACACTCTTGATGCACCAATTATGTCCACATCTGGGGGTCTCAATGTACATGATATTTTGCATCAATGAACTTCTCCAGGTACCTGGAAAAGGCCATCACATAAGAGACATTGTGCATGACATGGGACTCAATAAGAATACTGTTGTCCAGTGGTTTCCAGATATCTTTGTGCACCACTTCAATGTAAATCAAAGGAGAATTGGAGGAAAAGGACGGACAGTTGAAATTGATGAAACTTGCATTTCCCATCGAAAATATAATTGAGGAAGGATTCTGCATGGACAGGAAACACAAGCTTGGATGTTTGGTGGAATTGAGCGTGAAACACAACTTGGATTCATGCAGTTTGTTCCAAGACGTGATGCTGCAAATCTTATTCCTCTCATTCTGCAGTTCATACGACCTGGAACAAGAATAATGTCTGATGAATGGCAAGTCTACAGACATATCCCTAGACTTGGCGTTGGCTACACCCACAAGAGAGTGAACCACAAGAGGCACTTTGTTGATCATTCGACAAGGGCTCACACAAATGGAGTTGGAAGCCAATGGGGTAGGTTTCAAAAAAAGTGTGAAGGCTTCCAATGGGTATAATGCTCCCTCTAATGCCAGATTTATTGATTACCTTGCAGAGTTCATGTGGAAGCAGGAGTTCAGTGGGAAAGATCAGTTGCATCATTTTTGGTCCACTGTTGCATTGAAGTACCCCTGTGAAAGGTGATTGTACTGGGCATGTTTACAGAAGAATAATAAAAGCAATGAAAAACGATTCTGGTTTTTTTTTTTCATTCCACAGCATAGTTGAAGACCTTCCCAAAGATCAAACTTGGGCATCTCCCTCCCTCATCAGCCCTCAGGGATCAAGTAGCCCCGCACACCTAATTAAACGAAGCCTGTTTTGACAATTTCAAAACAAGGCTTGTACACAAATCCTATATAAACGCTCCTATATTAATTTTCAATTCAGAATGACATAGTTCATAAATGAAAATAGTTCATAAATTCCCCCTTCCGACATTACGTGAACTTCATGTTTGCATCGTGGGATTTCAATCAAGTTTCTCATTCACATTTGCCTTTTTAGGTTTGTATGCTGCACACTCACTGAAGAGGTGTCAAATGGCAAATGGACAAATGGCAATGGTTAGGGACAAATCTTTTGGGAGCAGATCAACCACAAGTACCATAACTCACCTCAAAAAAATTTCAGAATATAAGATCTGTACATTAAATTATCCCGAATTCTCAAGAAGTTTGGGCAACCTATTTTTCTGGGGAAAAACCAGGCTGCTTTCTATATTCAGTGGGATCTGATAATGTATTTGCAAGTAAATTCCGTCATTGCTCCCTGGCCTCTTTTTTTTTTTTAGGTATAAAGCTCCCCACTATTCATGGGATATAAAGCTCCTTATTAATTATTAGATTTAAAGCTCCTCATTATTTGAAAATTGCTTTTGAATTATAAAAAAAAAGTAATGCGTGATTCTCTGCATAGGTTTCTTGTGTTGAAAAAAATTATTTTGTTGGCCCAGTCCTGCTGAACACTATGCCTGCTCATCCCTGTCTGTGCCCAGAGACCCCAGACTGAGCTAGCCCCCAGAGGCCCAGACTGGCCACCCATCCCTCTCCCGTTCCCCCCGCTTGTTGTCCGGCAGCCCCGCCTCCCGGGCAGGAACGAATGGTTGTGGTTTCCACTTCTACCCTGTCAGGACAAAATCTCCCAGGTCCCAGCTTGCCGGGGACAAATCCTCCGGGAAGCAGAAATAACATATGAACCACATAGAATCTTATCATTCGAAAATGTCTGCACAATCAAGTCAATGTTCAAATCAGCCTTCCATACGGTCCAGAGTAACCAAGGCAGAAGTTATTTTAATTACAAGAAGCATCTCAGAACAGAAACAGCTTGTCACTTGCTCATCCCTTTCTGAGGATTAATCAATGACTAAACCAAGTACAGCATCAGCCATTGTGATTATAAAACTAATTCTTATACTTTTCCTTTCTTGATAATTCCATTTTCGGGGAAAAGATAAGCTGCACCAAAAATGGGGGGAGGAATGGATTAGGCATTCATGGGCAAACACATGAAAACGAAAACAGCACAGGTAATTTATTATTTGGACATTGATCCGAATTTTGCCAGAGTCCGAAATTTATCAATCGGACATAAGTCCGAATATCCAAAAATCGGGAATTCGTCACTCAGACGTTAATCCGAGTTTTTGGCGGGAAAGGAATATTCTATTCCTTTCCTGGATAACAGTACCATAACTCACCTCAAAAAATTTTCAGAATATAAGATCTGTACATTAAATTATCCCGAATTCTCAAGAAGTTTGGGCAACCTATTTTTCTGGGGAAAAACCAGGCAGCTTTCTATATTCAGTGGGATCTGATAATGTATTTGCAAGTAAATTCCGTCATTGCTCCCTGGCCTCTTTTTTTTTTAGGTATAAAGCTCCCCACTATTTATGGGATATAAAGCTCCTCATTAATTGTTAGATTTAAAGCTCCTCATTATTTGAAAATTGCGTTTGAATTATAAAAAAAAGTAATGCGTGATTCTCTGCATAGGTTTCTTGTGTTGAAAAAATTATTTTGTTGGTCCAGTCCTGCTGAACACTATGCCTGCTCATCCCTGTCTGTGCCCAGAGACCCCGGACTGACCACCGATCCCTCTTTAGTTCCTCCGCCTGTTGTCCGGCAGCCCCGCCTCCCCCGCAGGAACGAATGGTTGGGGTTTCCACTTCTACCCTGTCCTCAGGACAAAATCTCCCAGGTCCCAGCTTGCCCGGGACAAATCCTCCGTGAAGCAGAAATAACATATAAACCACATAAAATCATATCATTCAAAAATGTCTGCACAATCAAGTTATATTAAAATCAGCCTTCCATACGGTCCAGAGTAACCAAGACAGAAGTTATTCTAATTTCAGAAGCATCTCAGAACAGAAACAGCTTGTCACTTGCTCATCCCTTTTTGAGGAATAATCAATGGCTAAACTAAGTACAGCATCAGCCATTGTGATTATAAAACTAATTCTTAGTCCTTCACAATTTTTATGAATACCTCTTTTGGAGTTACTCATGAAAGGAAACTGCTGGTGTTATGCCCACACCCTACCTTGTCCTCATTAAAATGTTTTAGGCCAAGAAATTAAGGATGGCTCATCCGCTGTAGGGATTTATCCCCGGCATTTGAAAGGCGTTGATTCACCTACAAATGAAGAGGATCTTCCCATGGCGGATGGTGCACACTAAGCAGAACACCCTACTGAATCTTCTGCTTAATATGGGCCTGGAAGCTAATGCCATCACCATGCGCCCATCACCTACTATATTCTCAACTGGACGGCCTTTGCTGTCTTGCTGGCAACATTTAATGGGTGCGCTCAATATACTGTACAATATTATACAACTGCTGTTGGCAAACCTTGGTGGTCCCCATAAGCCCATATACAGTACTGCACCGCACAGTAATTCCCAAAAACCATCATGTGGAAACGGCATGTTCACTGAGAGACTGTGGAGGGACGAAACAAGGTCATAATGCAGTAAATACCTGGGATGGATCTTCAGGAGAATAACAGAAATATAAGGAATTTTCCTGAACAGCGCCATAAATGGGAAATGGCCATAATTCCACCCCATGATCAGTGCCCTTTCCCTGAGGGGGGGGGGGATGTTGTCCCCACAACAAAAAAGCGCATTTCAATTGGCAGTCCCATTAAGAAGGCTGTGGCTTTTTTCTCCTGCAGTGCAGAGCTTCAGAGTTCTGTACAACATATGGAGACATTCAATTTTTCTCTCAGGATGGGGCTTGGGTGATCCTGAAAGATTCTGAAATTTTGGAACTAGGCCAGTGATGTCCATTGCAGAAATTTCTGTGGTTTCAAATTGTTTGGGAATGCTTTTCAGAACTTGAGTGTATGCTGCCCAAGGCTGATCACCAGTTTCTTGAGCATGGTAGAACATCTCCCTTTTTAGTTGTGTGACAGTGCTTGACTGATCAGGGAGTGGCAAGCAGTCTGGATGATGATTGTCTTAGGGATTTCTGTAGCCAATTACATGGTTATTATGAACAGTAACACAACGCTTACATCCATCAAGCTTGAAGCACTTCTGGCAGAAAAAGCAGACTGATCTATTCTGTTTTGTATAGAATTCTTTATGAATCTGTAAACATGACCTTCAATGCAATTTCTTTTTCAAATAAGATCATTCAAATTTAAATGCCTCAAAAAGCCAAAAACTGCTGGTCTGTATTCATTCAAAGCTCTCTTTGATGGCATATCTTTGCACTCCAACACAAAGTCCAATGTATATAGAAAAGAATCATAATAATCATGTGCACGGTATGATGACTTTGGCTCCAAAGTCCACTCGCAATGATAACATCGCAATTCATCCGACTGAGATCTGAAATATTCGCGCATGAAACACTTGAAAGCATATGCGCAATTAAACCGCTTTTTGAGCACGCATTCTTGTTCCAATTTCAAGAAACAATAACCATATATCCATTCTATGGTACGTACTTTCGCGGATCTAACATCTTTGTCTTTCCTGAAGCACTGTTTGACGCGGAGCGCGGAAAAATGACTGAATCAATGTTGGTATCGAGTCTGGCCTTGGCTTTTTTTGACGTATTTTCGTCGTTCAGCTCGTCAACAGTGCAAGGTTTAATTCCATGGCTATGGTCTTGAATTCTTGATAAACGGCCTTCGACCTTATCCTTGAACTTGTAGTTCCTTTATTCATGCTCATCAGTCGTCGGACATTTGCTGGACTCACCGATATATTCTCCTGAATTTCAGTTGCCCCGATCTCCTGAACTTCAATGTTTTGTGCGACAGCTGAAGCAATTTGTACATCACATCATCGAATAGCACTCGCAGCGTTCCCAGTATAGTATCAGCACTCATCGTCAGGAGTACGTCTTCACGGTGTGCTTGTTCATCTAGCGAAATGGCTTGCTGGGCACCGGTGTAGCAGGCAGGGCGTACTTTCTCCTGAAGTTTCACTTGGAACTCATTTTAATCCACTCCCGGCACTCAAAAAAGGCCACAATAAATATGAAGTACAGCATTGGTTATTCTTGTAAGTTTTCAACACATATTGAAATTTGATATGTGTGCATATGAAATTAAAGTAGTGATGAAAAGTTTGTGCTACCAAATTTTTGATACTGCATCAATTTTAGTTAGATTCCTATGTATGCTTTATTATGATCATCTTCAAGTTCTGCAAGACCGGGCATGTATTCTTAAATTTCCAATACAAGCAGCTACAAAAGTTTACTGCCGTTTTTAATTTACCATTCCTCTTTAAACAATGCCATAGTTGAGCTCAAACCCATCAAAAATGTAAGCATTTTAAAATATTTAAATCAGAAGAAGGTTTCATAAGCGACAATTTTTCGTGGGAATCACCATGAACCATCAGTCATTAGAAATAATTTGTTGAATTCGGAACTTGATATGAGCTCCCCCTAACAACCCCGAGTCATCCGCGGTTCCTTCCCTCAAGTGGATACCTTCAGCTAGCAAGTACGGTATATTCTTGATAAACTTTAGTCCACCACTTTTATTCAAATGACAGTATTTGCTGTAAGTTTCCAAGGTTGGTGAATGGCTAGTGTGTAACCCAAAATTATGTTTCATGCCTTCCCGCAGTGATGCCAGAATAGTGGATCAAAATATGAAGAACCATCACTTAATATAGTTCAAGGGGGCTTATTTGCAGTTCCTGCGATCAGCAACAGGTTCGGAATGATCTAAATATTCAGATACAATTATACCTTTTAGCAAGGATCCCAAAAACTCATTGGAAATACAGTGCTATACTAATAGGGTATACAATTTCTACTGAAATGTGTACCAGTAAGGCGCGCAATATCTTTATTCCCCTTCCTATGGAGGTGCCGCCTGCTTTCCAATCTACTGTATACTCTCTTCTCCAACAAAAGCTTAGGAACCGATTCACCTTTCACCTCATACCTCATACAGATGCGGCCAGAACACATTTTCTCTAGTTGAAAGTACAATTAAAATAGAAACCCCACAAACAGTTTTTTTCAGGCTTCAGAAAAATTTTACGGCCAATCAAAAAGGAGGAACATGTTACGAACCATTGCTGATGGACAACTCAATAATCATTGGTCACATCAAGCGGGGTCTTCGAACTCTTCGTACGGGTTTAAAAACACACATACACATTGCTAATACTGTACTGTATAACCAGTGCTTGGAACATCGGTCTTCGAGAGCAAATGTTTCAAAACCTCAACCTCACTTCGGAAGAATTGAACACGGTATGATGACTTCGGCTCCGAAGTCCACTCGCAACGATAACATCGCAATTCATCCGACTGAGATCTGAAATGTTCGCGCATGAAACACTTGAAAGCATATGCGCAATTCCACCGCTTTTTGAGCACGCATTCTCGTTCCAATTTCAAGAAAATTAACCATATACAGTATATCCAATCCATGATACGTACTTTCGTTGAGCTAACATCTTTGTTTTTCCTGAATTACTGTTCGATGCGGAGCATGGAAAAATAATTGAATCAATGTTGGTATCGAGTCTGGCCTTGGCTTTTTTCGACGTATTTTCGTCGTTCAGCTCGTTAACAGTACAAGGTTTCATTTCATCGCTATGGTCTTGATAAACGGCCTTTGACATTATCTTTGAACTTGTAGTTCCTTTATTCATGTTCATCAGTCGTTGGACATTTGCTGGACTCACCGATATTCTCCTGAATTTCAGTTGCCGCGATCCCCTGAACTTCAATGTTCTATGGGACAGTTGAAGCAATTCGTACATCACATCATCGAATAGCACTCGCAGCGTTCCCGGTATAGTATCAGCACTCATCGTCAGGAGTAAGTCACGGTGTGCTTGTTCAACTAGCGAAATGGCTTGTTGGGCACCGGCACTTCGGGTAGCAAGTTACTCCAGGTTCTCGAATAACAGACTCCACTGCATCTGTTGTTTCTGTTGTCCCATATTATCTCCGAAATGGGGCAGCACAGATACCCGAAAGTGTTCAGCTGCCATCACACCTCTTCGCACGCATAGATGCAGCCGAGCTTGAAGAAGTACCTCGCTTTACGCTTTCTGCTGGAAGGTAATGCATCCTGTTTTGCGTGCCCTGCCAAACATCACACATCGGTGGAATACAAAAACATAATCACGGTATGGTTCAGAACACTTCATCAAAATAGCATTACTTTGGTTAGCCACAGTGTTTGGAGCGTTTCCGGCGTTTCCTTCAAAGGCAGCTTCTCCGAATGATGCGATTCACTCATTTCGCGCTGACTTGAGGATTCTCTGAAAAATTCACGAGAAACCTCTTCAACTCAAACTAAATCGCACCCGAACCCTTCAGACACAAACCACCAACACAGGACCCAACTGTAGATGGCGAACTATCCTCTGATGGGTTCATCACTGTTGGAAATGATCTTTACAACACCAACGCTAACACGAAACACGGCAAGCGAGGTATGACAGGAACAAAATGAGACACGGAAAAGTGGCTTGGAACGAACTTGACATACGGCAATTTACTTCAAGCATACGCTGAACGTGTGATCGCATTGACTAAAATAAAGGTACGCCTAACAAAATCTTACAGTCAACATGACTCGATTATACTGTTCTTCGTCAGCTTCAAGCATGAATTTCTCGAGGGTCATTCGGTAGCGTTTCTTCTCAGATAATGTCTCGTGATGTTTCTTCTATGAACTTTTGTGGGTAGGATAAATCGATTTTTCCAGTGAATTTGTTCTTGGCTAAATGTGTGAAACATGAAAAATCACATCACTTCTCAAATTCCCTAAATGAAGCATGACCACAGGGTACTTTTTTTCTTCAAGCGATGCGCAGATACGGTTCTGGACACGAGAGGAAAAAGGAGGGACTAGCCCTCCTCCACCCGGGTCGTCACTCGGATTTCGGACAGTACGGGAGCTCTGCAACAGCGTGAGCTCACCGAGGACTGCCCACATTTCAGGGGGGATCAACAACGGCGGCAGGCGTACCCGCGCAATGAAGCGATCTCGCGCCTCTACCCGCCTGTTAAGCGAGCATCACCAACCGCGCGCCGGGTCCGAGGTTCGAACCGGGTACCACAGATTGGGAGCTGGGTGCGGAGCACCAAGAGCTATGTCACAGGCGGGCGACAGACTGAGGATGGTGTAGGGTGTATAAATTTCCTCCACTGCGTATTGGTAAGCAGTTCCAGTACCCTATGAGGGAGTCTTATCTCCGAGTGTTTTCCACATACCTCGTTTTTACTCACGAGCAGTATCTCACGGATTCTCGCCTTCTTCCCGTACAGTACCGGCATATCAGAGGAATTTCTCTCATTCGAACAGCTCCTTGGCTTCGCATGATAGTTTACGGCAAATGTGTCCTCAGTTTTACGAAAAGAAAATCGAAAGGACAGCTGTGTCTCAGAAATCTTCAGTGTAGGACGTGATACTTGTTATCAGATGAAAAGTTTTCCAGAGATCATCAGCACATTCAGCAGAGCTTATGCTCTTCAGGACGTTCGTTAACATGCATACCATCAATCATTCATAGAACTGTGTGATACCAAAGCGCTTTCTCCGAAATCAGTGCCTCATTTCCTAAAAATATGCAGAACAATGGCTCCGCACAAATTCTTCCTCAAGAGAAATGGGACCTGTCCGGGGACTAGGTAGAAGTGGAACCCGCGACCATTGGTTTCAGCAGGTGGAGGCGGGGCTATCGGACAACAGGCAGGGGAACTGGAGAGGGAGCACTGGTCAGTCTGGGCAAAGGCGGCAATGAGTTTGCACTTTGCAGCATAACTGGAGGAACAAGAGAAAATATTTTCAACACAAAAAACCTGGGAAAAGTGGTCCCTTCAGTTTTTTTTACATCCGGTCATTACAAGGAAATTATTTCTTCATCTTTAAATATCTGATGATCCCTGATATCCACTCATGAAATGGCATTGAACCTGGATAAGTCTGATTATGCACATATACTACAGTATTCAAAGAGTAAATCAAAACAAATGAAGATGTGCTCATTGCATTTATTGGCATCAGATTTCAGCAGAAAATTTCAAAATTGCAGGTTTGAATGCAATCCACATACACAGTGGATTTGACGGATTGAAACCATAACAGAATTTACTGAATCTGCAATTTTAAATGCCATATGCACTTGATTGATTTTTAATTTCTAACAATCTACTGTACATCCATGCCTAATCACTTCCATATCTTGAACATTTTTGAATAGAAATTAGGCTTTATACTTTTATGTTCTCCATTTGAAAATTAATTCAGGAATTTTTAAATAATGAGGAGCTTTGTATACAAAAAATTATGGGGAGCAATGACCGACTTTTTTTGAAAATGTCAGATCCCACTGAATCTAAAAGGCAGTCTGGTTTTCTGGCAAATCTTCCCAGAAAAAAGGCTGCCCAAACTGTTGGAGAATTTGGGATAATTTAATGTACATGTCTTATATTCTCAGAAAACCATTTGAGGTGAGTTATGGTCTCAAAAAAGAACAGAGCAACCAGGAAAAAATCTTGCCAGAATAAACAAAGGAGAGATTTGGACAGAGGAAAAGATCTTTTACAAGAAGCTTGAAGAAAATTTGGAATGGTTGGTCACAGACTACATCAACCAAAGCCCACATGCCTCAGCTAACAGCTTTTAGGAGAACACTGCCATTAGGATTTCTTTTGGTGATGAAAATTGGTAGAAATTTGTGGTCCTGCTTTTTCAATTCAGAATGACATGAATTAAGTTCATATTTCATTTCTGTTGCCACTGTGTTACACCCATTCAGCCATGAAACTCATTTACTCGCTGCAGACAGTGAGAAACGGTTTTTAAAAATGGTATTCAAGTATGGGTCATGAAAATAGTTTATAAATTTCCCCTTCCTATATTAAGTGAACTTCATTTTTGCATTGTGGGATTTCAATCAAGTTTCTCACTCACGTTTGCGTTTTTAGGTTTGTATGCCGCACACTCACTGACAAGTGTCAAATGGCAAATGGACATTTTGTTAGGGACAAATCTTTTGGGAGCAGATCAACCATAAGTACCATAAATCACCTCAAAAAATTTTCAGAGAATATAAGACCTATACATTAAATTATCCCAAATTCTCCAACAGTTCGGGCAGCCTTTTTTTCTGGGGAAAAACCAGGCTGCTTTTTATTTTCAGTGGGATCTGATAATGTATTCGCAAGTTAATTCCGTCATTGCTCCCTGACCTTTCTTTTTAGGTAAAAAGCTCCCCACACTTTTTTGGATATAAAGCTCCTTATTATTTGAAAATTGATTTTGAATTTTAAAAAAATCAATGACATGATTCGCAGCATAGGTTTCTTGTGTTGAAAAAAAAAATATTTTGTTGGTCCAGTCAAGCTGCAAACTCATTTCTGTCTGTGCCCAGAGTCCCCAGGTGGACTGAGCTAGCCCCCACAGTCTGTCCACCGCTCCCTCTCCCGTTCCCCCCGCCTGTTGTCCGGCAGCCCCGCCTCCCCCGCAGGAACGCATGGTTGGGGGTTCCACTTCTACCCTGTCCTCATGACGAAATCTCTCTGGTCCCAGCTTGCCGGGGACAAATCCTCCGCGAGCGGAAATTACATATGAACCACATAGAATCATATCATTCGAAAATGTCTGCACAATCAAGTCAATGTTCAAATCAGCCTTCCATACGGTCCAGAGTAACCAAGACAGAGCAATAAAATTAATGTTCTTCGTAGAGTCTTGTCTTTGTCGAACAGTGAACGAGTAGGGAAAGACTCCTAATTAGTTACTGATTTGGTTCATGTCGTAGTCGGTAACACTAATATTTTGATTAAGAATGTCATTATGTTAAAAGTACTTATGGAGTAAACCTCAATGAGTACTTTCCTTTGACGACCACAATACGGGTGTGGGATGGTACAGGAGTAATTTTACAAAATCCGGTTCTTTACTTCCTACCGAGTAGGCGACAGGGGATTTATCCCCCGCATTTGAAAGGCGTTGATTCACCTACAAATAAAGAGGATCTTCCCATGGCGGATGGCGCACACTAAGCAGAACACCCTACTGAATCCTCTGCTGAATATGGGCCTGGAAGCTCATGCCATGAGCATGTGCCCACCTATTCTCGAGTGGACGGCTTTTGCTGTCTTGCTGGCAACATTTAATGGGTGCACTCTATATACTAGACAATATTATACAAGTGCTGTTGGTAAAGCTTGGTGGTCCCCATAATCCCATATACAGTACTGTACCGCACAGTAATTCCCAAGAACCATCATGTGGAAACGGCATGTTTACTGAGAGACTGTGGAGGGACAAAACAAGGTCATAGAACTTCATAAAGCAGTAAATACCTAGGATGGATGTTCAGCAGAATAATAGAAATATAAGGAATTTTCCTGAACAGCGCCATAAATGGGAAATGGCCATAGTTCCACCACATAATTGGTGCCCTTTCCCTGAGGGGTGGGGATGTTGTCCCCACCACAAAAAAAAGCACATTCCAATTGGCATTCCCATTAAGAAGGCTGCGGATTTTTTCTCCTGCGGAGCAGAGCTTCAGGGTTCTAGAATCTGTAAAACTTAAGGTGACATTCAATTTTTTCTCATGATGGGATCTCTCATTTGCTCTTGATACCCTTGAGTATCACACCTAAAACCCACCAACATGTTTCAGGAAGTGTTTTTCTCAATGCAATATAACCTACTATTGCTGAGTTGTCAGGAGAAATTGTGTGCCTCAATAACAGGCAAGAACATCGACCCAAAGTTGAGTCATTTTTATTACTGCATGTGCTTCCTGAAATGATCAATGCCCATAGTTCTGATTAGGAAGATGGCATACTGTAGATGTGGAATACAGTAATGGTTTTCCCAATCTTTCTGGACCAACAGACTGACAAATTTTCATACAAATTTCAGCTGACCTGCATATTTCCATAACATCTTCTGTGGACCAGCAGCCTTTGATAAAATGTTTGCAGACTGGCAGAAAAAAATTAAATACCTCCAGTGACGTCCTTTAAACATAACTTTTATTTCAAAAATCAAGTTAAGGAGTGAAGCAGCTACATTGCTATGTCTTCAAAAAATGAAAAGCTGTGCT